TTCCCCATTTTCTCATCCTTTTATTGCACCCCCCACCCCATTTTCCCTTCATTCCACCATCTCCCCCTATCCATTTTCATATTTATTAAATTAAGCACAATAATGCAGTTTTGTTATTTGATTAAAACTTGAAACTGAATTAATTTTTTTTGCTATCATACATCAATGAAAATTAGTTTTTGTTACGTTAGATACAAAGTCTGTAGCCAACTTGACATTTCTTTATAAGTAAAAGTTCATTTGTTGAATTTACATTAAAAATTAAGTGCCATTAGAAATAGTATAAGAACAACTTTTCTGTCATGCATTTTAACTTTAATTAGAGGGATGCTCATCTAAATTTTTTTTAATTGAATAAGTAGGTAGAGACTGTTGCTTTTTATAAATTCCATACTGGAAAAGAAACCTCGCCAGATATGTGGAGCTGAAAATTGCTTTCACTTTTACAGTATAATTGTCCAATTTTTTTTTTATAAAGGCGCCAAATATTTTCAATGAAAGTAATTTGAAAGATAATTTATTTTAAATATCAGTCAGTGCCGACTCTACTGTAGTATTCTCCTCTTCAAAATCAAAATATTCCATGAAACAAGTAGAAAACTAAGCATTATCAATCTCTAAAATAAAACAATTTAACTAACTGCCCTACAATTGAAATCTTGGAAGAGTTTGCTGAATCAACCTGTCTAATTTGAAAGAATATCAACCTATTTCTTGTAAGGAGGCTACCTACATTAGCAAGGGTCTGATATACACACATATCAGATGTAAGCTCACATGCCTACAATCAACTAGGAGACTGACAGTGACAGTTGCACACGAGTATGCAAGCAGCAACACTGGGCATACAGAAACTGCTATTTTTAAATCATAGCAGTCCTATCACCATTCTCATTTGCGTTCCTTCTTCCAAATTGAATAAGATTAGTGGTTGACAGGATGAGCTATTGATTCAATTTTGCCAAGAAATTAGTTATCTTAGTGCAGTATCCTCATAAAAGTATCTACAGTAATTCAATTTTCGAAAGAAGTTTATCCTCTGGTTTATTCTATTTACAGATAATTGAAGGTGGGCTGAAGCGGGATGGTGTCTGGAACATCTTATCATGCGGGATGAGTGAAGAGGAGCTCCTACGAAGAGCAGCAGAAGAACGGGCAACCATTGTAAGCCGTTACAAACATGGCAGAGAAAATGGGGCTCAAATTGATCCATGGGAAGATCCAGGCTTCGAGATTTATCATGTTACAGATCGTCATGGATTCATCCAGTGAGTGTACATTCAAATCTATTTACTATTATGAAAAATCATTGTCCTAATAACTTAACAAAATGTGTCATTGCTTCTTAAACATCCTAAACTTCCTTAATTTTTTAAGTAGTATTGAACAATGACCACAACACAACTAATGTTCTTTCTTGACCACTTTGTGACCATTGTCCTCTAATCTCTTTCAAGTGAAACACTACTGTGAGTAAATTCCCTATTGGCATTAGTATAATAGTTACTTTAATCTATATTGCACAAGTTTTGAAAACGGGTGGTGATTCAATTAAATGATGCCTTATTTTACATGGGAATACTAAGGCCAATAGGCCTGCCCTTCTGTCTGACACAAATTTCGCACCTCTCCTTACACCATCTAGTAGAGAAAGAAGGTATCACTTAGGTGACAAAACTACTTCCCTTCTAAAGGAAGATGTACAAAGGATTTTTCACCCTTAACACGTTGACTGCCAAGCCCTTTTTCATAAACTGTTCGACTGGTACCAACAAAAATTTAGCTACTTTTATGAAGAAATAAATGATTTTTAGATTTCTAAGGCACTATTAAGGACTTTCTTCATCTTTCCATTAATTTACTTTGTGACCATATGATCGTACAGTATTCATAGACTTCATGAAAAGGTATCCATGAGACTATATGATCTTACACTTTTAGCTAAATATTTCAAAAAGGACAATAGTCTTTCAACTGGAATATTTTTATTTAGTTGCAAGAAGAGGCGATGTGTGAATCATTTGATTTAATTATCTTTAATATTTCTGTATTAGGTTCCAATTTAATGAAAAACTATATTTTTACAATCAAAGTGCAAAAAATGGGTTAATAAATCAGATATCTTCCTCGGACCCGCCACATTTCACTAATAATCAAGTTTTACTGAACTGACACAATTTAACCACGATTTCTTGCTTGTAAGGAGCCACAAACGAGTAGTGGAACAATACTGAGAGATACGTGCGAAATGTACGGGCCAAAAGTATCATTGCAAAACTTGTGCTTCAAAAGAGCTGGAAGTTAGATAAATTATTTATTGATCGATTAGTGATTTATTTAGTGATTCCGGGTGCGTCAACTGCTGAGGTTATTAGTTTCGCTGGTGCATGTTTTGATCGCGGGAGGTAGCGGTCATGTTCTCCACCTTCCTCGCGAGATCCGGCACCGACCTACGTCAGCTTGCGGGGAATCTCCCCAACCAAGTATCTCCCACCAGCGGGGAGGTCTGAGCTCCCAACATGTTTCCTGACAAGTGTGATAGTGTAGTGTTAGCGTGTGTAGGTAAGGGAGGATAGGACAAGGAAGAGGAAGGGTTGGTTGGCACGCGGTCCATGGCCTGTTCGTAAAGGCGACTCCACACGTGTGACATTCGGTGAATCCCGAGTAGTGTGGACGGGTTGCTTACGATTCGCCGAGTGCCGAACATTCGGTATGCGCCCTACCCACCGCATGTCGGTCTTTAGGACACATGAAAGGAAGCGAGCCAATCCGGGTAACCGAATCGCTAAGGCAGTAGTGTCGTGGCGCTCTCGGATCGAGGGATCGCGGGTTTGAATCCCTCCTAGGGCATGAATCTATTTGTGATCGTCCTTTCACCCATCCTATCACTTTATTAAAGAAGTATAAATTATTCCCTGCTCAAATAGCCCTTGCCCTAATTGAGATGTGCAGTTGGCTAATAAAAAAAGGAGCGAAACTTCGCCGAACAAATCTGATGTTTATGGTTGGGCGAGCAGTACCCCGCTGCTCGGCGAATGCCGAATGTATGGAGCCGCCTTAAGGTACTGCTCCGGCATTCGCTTGGTGTCGATCGGAGAAATCACAGAAAAGTAACGCTCAGAGCAACTGGCCGCTAGATTTCTCCTCCACACTGATGCTGAAATCGACCCAGCTGACAAGCTAGTGTCGACAATCTGCCACCGTCGGGACTGGAACCCTAGAACCTCCCAGTCAGAGGCCCTGCAGTGACATCATATGATGGCCTGAACCACCCTTGGCGTTTGAAATTAGGTAAAGATAAATACCTAAATTCTAAAATCATACATAAGAGTATAATCATGTTTCACGATTCAAATATTACAAGTACAATATTTACGATTAAGGCGGCTACATACTCGCGGCATTCGCCGAATCCCGAGTAGTATGGACGGGTTGCTTGCGATTCGCCGAGCGCCGAACATTCGGTATTCGCCGTATCCACCGCGTGTCGGTCTTAAGGACACATCAAAGGGAGCGAACATTTGCCGATCACATCATCTGATCGGGATTGGACGAGCTGCCCGGCCGAATATGTAGAGCCGCCTTTACATACAGTTTAGTACATACTACAAACGGTGGAAGGAACAAAGTGATGTGAAATTTGATCCAACAAGACGAGTCTGCCTGTCCCCCAGGGGCTAGCCCAACCCTTGTGAAGCGTCCTACCCCGTATCTAATTCCTTCCCATTCTGGGCGCTGGGGAGTGACGCAGGAGCGCGTGGTAGACGGCGCGTACGCCGGGATGCTACGTGTGGTCCTTTTGACAACTGACTGCGACGAGACCGGACAGAGAAACATAAGTAATGTGTTAACGGAGGAGCTCTCCAAAGACCAGCGCTAAATGCCCTTGTTTGGCTTGGAGATGCGTTGCGTCAAATGTAGACGAAAAAAAGACCATATTGAAACAATAATAATGTGTACAAGGACGATTTGTTGCTTATAGGAAACCTTGAACATGCTTTCATGAAATATAGCCATCTAATTCGTAACTGAAATTGTATACAAATAAATAGGAGTCCATTAAAATGTTACTGTGAGACCGTATGGTCTCACGGGAATTATATTTTGTTGTCAACTGTGAGGCCATATGTCTCAGTTGGCAGCCAACGTGTTAAATATCCACAGCTTTGTAGGGTTTGAACTGCAAACGATTGGGTTTAGACTGCGGCACGAATGTAAATTTTGATACTCTTAACTGTTACAGAACCAAAGACGCTAAATGTTTGGTACTAGATTTCAAATTTGGGTGAATGCAATATCGCAACATTATAAATTTATAAAACAGAGTAAATTTTGGAAAGAAATTTCATAAGTAAGTTTTTGTAGTTGGCAAAGTGAACATAAATATAACATTATGCTCATTGGATATGTGAAAATGGGTGGTCAGCTGTGTGATTTACTACCACCTCCTGACAATTTGCTCTCTGTGTGGATGGTGACAATTATTGTGCCATAAATGTTAAATAAGTTGAAATTTGTGGTGTAAAATGCCAATAATTTCTTGCAATAAAAAGGGTACTTTATAATGCTGGAATGCATGTTTTTTGAGATATCTCCTAAATGCACAGGTTTGTGTACAGATTTTTTTTTGCCTGTGGCCACTCCTTACATATGCAAAGGTTAAGTATCTCCCCTAATGCATACATATTAGTTTAATACATTTCAAACGTAATAAATTTTATGACTTGTACAGTTTCAATATTGTGTATTTTTCATCTGGAAGTATAAAATGAATATTTCATCATTGTGGTAGGTGCTATGTTCTCAGTTTCAGCATTTCATAATAAGTGCAATCAGTATCATTTTGTTATTTCCTGCATTCTGCACTTCCTGGGTCGGTACTTTAGGAAGTTGTCTCGCGTCATGCCTTATCCTAAGAAAAGGAAAGGCCTGGAAATGAGCAAAGAACACTAGCAATCTTAGCCTATACCAGGGTTGGAAAAAATAGTGTATTATAAATTTAGACAGTGTTAATGTTTTGGAGGAAGAATATTATTTTTTAAATTTATAAAAAAAAGTGATTTTCGTCATCAGAACAGAAAATGAAATACTTTCAATACTACGAAGTGTATATCATATTTACCAGAGTATAAGATGACTCCCTAAATATGAAGAGGCCCGCTGAGAATTTTTTTTAAATGTTTAACCAATTCTAACCATGTAGCCAAAACAAAACTACAAATTGTCTTGTTGAGAATGTTTAAACTTATTGCCTGAACTGTCACAATTTTCTGGTTTCTTAAAATCATAATGGTTTTTGTTACCGCCATCTTCATCTTTACAGTTATCACGGTTTCTTTAATTTTGGCCCTCCTTCGGTATTGCGGGGTACTCGCGACGTTTTAGGCTCCCCTGAAAGAGGCATTTGGTTAGTCTTTCGTCTGACAGCATTCCCTTTTGAGTCACAAAATGGTTTTTCCTATCGCGCTCATCGTTTACAGTTCGTTGATGTCCTTTAACAGAATATACTTGAAATTGGCATCGTGTAATGTTCGTGATGAAGTTGTGATCTGGGAACTCGTATGTCTCCGTTTCGTGGGTGGAGAGAGCGGCACGTTTCCAATGTTTGGGAAAATTTTGCTAAGAAAATAAGAAAATGTTTTTCTTTCATTTTGTGTTTGAATATAGTATGCGTACTTCTATCCAAAACAATTATTTTATTTATTTTATTCACTTTCATCTCGTGTAAAACGCAACGGCGTCGAATTGGGAGTCCGCACTGTTTCGTCGATCACAGCATCATGCAATGCATTCGGGCCATCATGGCCACAGTGTAATGAAATGTCGAACGGTTTTTTTTTCATTCCTTTCCACATTGCGTTTATCTAGCTGCAATGTCATTCAAATTCACAGTGGATACGTCGTTGAATAAAATTAGGTATTACAGATGCGCGCGATATGTGTCACCTTTGCAATTTATTGTTGGGACTGGAATATGAGTTTCTTGTTGCAAGACAGTGCAAAAACATAAATCCTTACCGACTAGGCGCAATCTTCGAATATAAGCGACCCCATGGTTTTCAAATGAGATATTTAAGGGGGGGAGCTTCTTATATTTGGGTAAATGGTGTAGGATACGTTGAAGGATCTCCCCCTCCCCGTTTTGATATTTCAAACACTTATAATCATTACTAGTAAAGTAAAATTTTCATTATTTTTTTATGTTTAGGTTATAAAATAACAAATGTGCAGCATGTAGAAAAGTTGCATCACAAGTTTGTATTTTACA